AGATTAAAACCACATCTCAACATCAACATGTTCTGGTTACTTCCTTAAATCCTCCTGCCACAAAGGGAACTGGAGTCTTATGCAATCATTGTCTAAGCTCTGGTAGGTGAACTCATTTATTAATCAAAATAGCACGTCACTATTGTTGACTATTGAACTACAAAGACTTTTCCAAAATTGGAGAAGTTTTTAGTATTGTTGAATCTTATTTTTTGCTTCAATGATAGAAAAAGCCATATTGTTGTTTGTTTTTGAGGCAACAGTTTTCTCATAGATTTTTGCTGTTGAAGATGAAATTCACAACTCTTATGGGTTTTTGGGTCATTTTTTGTGCCCATTTCTCATTTTATAGTATTTATTGAATAATGTCTTCTGTCTGAAGAAGACCGATCTATTCTAGGGATAGGTCAAACCACAAGAAGTTTAGGAATATTTATCACTCAAACTCATCAGGCCATTCTGCATGCCAGCAACATTGCAACTTGGACAAGAAAGTGGAAGAAATTGTTTCTCGTTCCTGCAATACATCAGTTCTTGTTCTGTGTGCCACAGGCCATTAAACATCAATTAACGTATCTATCAGTATTGATACCTGTACTGTCATTTTTGGGCCTGGAACTAGATAATAAGGAAAGCATATCACCCGGAAATACCATTTTGTGCAAAAATTTGTGATGAATTTGCATTACAAGTGAACATGGAAAACGTGTGTGTGTGTATATATGCACACACCCATATATTGTGCATGTACACACACACAATTATATATGTTTACTTATATAAAAATGATTTTAACATAATCCTCTTCACCTTGATTAAGGTAGCAAGGCAGTTAGTATGGCTTGCCCTTCTACATGACTGCCTTGAGTAAAACGACAAAAGGCAGAGATTTGAGTCCTGTCACCTGTTTTCAGTTTTTCGCATCTATGCTAACCTAAAGCAAAGGGTTAATGAGGCTTCCAGAAATCATGCCACCTGCATAGTTAAACATAATAAATACAAGAAGTTGTTATCTTATAGGAATTGCCTTTGTGAAGGCTTTTAACCTCTTAATTACACTTTTGAAAAGACTCCTGCTATTTCAAAGGTTTCAAGAAATAATTCCTATTGTAAATCAGAAACCAATGCAAGAACCACCTTGTGAACAGAAAATTCCTAGACCGTACGAAACAAGAAACCAAATCTGTGCACACCTTTATCTGACAGGCACAACCCCGTTTTAGCAAACAAAAGAATAATAGTTTTCTTTTCCTCAAAGAGGTCTCTTTTGCTGGTGATCGTCTTTCAGGTGATAGTAGCTTTTCTGTACAAACCCGTATCATTCCATCTTGGGTCTGCTACACAGCTGTCTAAAAGTTTCCACTGACCACTCCTCTCTCTGTTTTAATTCTGTCACAAAATACCGGTCCTTTACATGGACTGTACAAACTATGTTTGGTTTACTTCTTCAACTTCTTCACCCAAGGAAAAAAATATTTGCAAGAAAGCCTGAGTGAGACTGTCATTTTGTTTAGAAACTGTGCTGAAAATTCAACAGTCTCTTTCAAAGCAACAAAGGAAGTCTTGTTTGCTTGGCTTATCGTGTTTTGGTCCAGAATGTGTATAGAGTGATGTGATCTCAGCAAGATTTTTTTTGTTTGTTTAGCAGAAAGAAAATCTAATATAGTCACTAGACCAGCATTTTCTCATGACTTTTTCAAAGATCAAAGGAAAGAACTGTAACCTCAAAAGTATATGGCTGAGATATTTCAGTCTGTGTCTGGTCAATAAAGAAAAAAGGCACTGACCAAATAACAATTATAAGATAATTAATTCTTAGGTCTGTTTCACCTTTAGAAACCTTAACAAATGCTTTGTATATTAAGGAGGTAAATGTTCAAGACGGACATAAGAACCTGGGAGCTAATAGAGTATAATGTGTGTCTGTGTAGTGGTGAGTTATATACAGATGACATAATTTTGCTGAAAATCAATCCATTTCATTAATTCTATTCTTCAGGTTTGGGCTGAATTGAATGTATGCAAAAGATGTTAACCTTCTGGTGGAACTTCTTTATACACACAAAAAAGAAGAGCATGTTCAACACAGTACACTTCTCAACCAATACATCTTAACTCTAACCAGACTGGTTAGCTTGGTACAGATGCTCACTCTATCCTTGTCATCGTTAAGACTTTTACTAGCGACACTGGTGATCAGTGCACATGGTAGCAACATTTTTTGTGAACTTCCAGATTTACCTCCACATTTGGATCTTGGAACTTTTTAGGAAAATATTTTTATTGCAATGTAATTCTGTGAAATAGAAGGTGGCCAACTAAAGCACAAGGAAGTCTGTTGACATTTTCCTCTGTCCAAAGAACCTGCCTGCCTGTCTTCGATCATCTAGATATTTTCTGCTGCACATTCAAAATCAGTAGATACGTTAGAAAATTTAGTAATTTTTTTTTGTATCGGGTGACAATGGAATTATGTGGATAATTCAGAAACATATTCTATTTATTTACTGCGTCCTGCACTGAGACAGCAAGAGTGGCCTTGTGGTTGCAAAATGTGAACTGCAAGTGCAGCAGAAGCAGCTCATGATATTCAACTGACTGAAGAACATGGCAGATGAATTTCGGTACAGGTAAGTGTCAAGTGAGGCACTTATGGAAAAGGCAATTCAAACGCTTGAGCAGCTACTAATGTGCTAGAAAGAGGTCCTGCAGTTGTAATAAGTATGAAAACAACAGCTCAGTGTTCAGTAAAGGTTAAAAAAATTAAGCAAAACAAAGTTTGGGGTGCTAGTAGGAAAGCAAACAAAAAAGCATCCATAATTCCCCTCTATAAATCCATGGCGTGCAAACACTTAAACATGCTGTGCAAGTCTGATCCCTCCTTGCCTTATGAGAACTGAAAAAAAGTTCAGTAAGAGTGACAAGGATGACCACAGGAAGGGAATAGCTCCCACGTGAGAAACAATCCTAACAGCCTACATCTAAAACATGACTAATGGAGATACAACAGAGGTCTGCACAATCTGGCGTACGTCAGTAAGGAACTGCTGTTTCCACTTTCTCCCAGTGCTGCACTTAGGGGACATCAAACGCGGTGGGAAGCTCCAAGTAAATAACAGTAGGTACTTCACCATGCTACACAAATGCTGCCACAAAAAATCATGAGTGTTACATTGGCTCAAAAAGCAATCATACAAACTCATAGAAGAAAATTCTTTAAGAGCTATTACATTCAAAGAAGCCACAATAGGCTCAGAGAATCCCTGAGTGCAAACCGCCAGCAGCTGGGACAGTTTACCAAGGGAGTATTACTATATTCTCTGTCTGACCTTCTAGTTTTCCTTTGGCATCTAGTGTTGAAGACTGGATACTGGGCTAGGTCAGCTTTTAGCATGACTTGGTACAACCATCCTTACGTTATGGGGCAGAAGCACATCAAAATAATTTCATTCATACCACAAAGCAGCCAATCCTCACTCCTGGTCTAGCAGTTCTGGCAGGAGTTCTGTTAAAACTGAAGCTCGTGGACTGAGTCAGCACAGCACAGTCAAGAACTATAAATACGGAGACCTGCCTGAAGCACAGAACATAATTAAGCATCCTCTAGTACACTTTGTTTCATGAGTTAACAGTGTTTTCCATACTGCTTAAAAAGAAAAAAATTACACCAAATGAGAAAAAACACCCAGGGAGTCATTTGGGATTCTTTCCTTTCCCCTGTAAAGAATCTTAACAAGAAACCATGGGAAAGACCAGTGCTCAGGGGACCATATTCTTGACAGACAGAAAGCATTGCATGGCAAGGAGTGTCTTCTCAGATGGTGAATCAGTTTATAACACTCCAAAGAAGCTGCTGGTGTCATGAAATTACTGAAATTAAATCAGTCACTTTTGATGTTTAATTGAAAGTACAATTCTGTTGAAAAGCAGCTCAAAGAGAGTTAAAAGAAAGGTGATTCAGCACATTATTAAGTGATATTAACAGGTAATTAATAGGTTATCAAATAGTTTTGTTCATGCAAGGTTACAAATTGATTTATCAAGTATACTCACAGAGATTGCAGGCTGCGCAAGTTCTGGAGTGCTTCAGTAGGAACCTGGCGGAGCTGGTTATTCTGCAGCATCCTACATTGTAAATAGCACAAAAACCAGAATCAACACAACAAACGTAATTTCCTTCTATTTTCAATTTTCTTCCAAGCTTACCTCCTTCGTACTGGTTCTACTTCAAGATTACAAACAAAGGAAAGCTACACAAACACTCCGTTCCCCTGACCCTGTCAAATGCCAGGTCTCTTCAAAGCAAACAAATACCTGCAGCATATTAGCTTTGTTAACAGCTACACATCAGCTTTTAGCAGCATTTTCAAAGCGGCCGAGGAAGTTAAAAGAATAAATCTGATTTGCTTTCAATAAGGCTTGAGCTCCTAATTGCCTCCTGTGATTCTGAAATGGTCATCCTCATGGATTGATTTTGTTTTCCTTCTGAAGTGCTTCAGATTCTTACTCTGATAAAGCTGCGAAGGATTGACTCTTGAAATCCTTACTCAGGAAAATGCTACTATGGCAAACAGAACTTTTAACTGTATGAGGAGTTTATGATTTGGTTTGAATAAAATTTTATCACTGTAAAAACTGCTGAATTTTTCCCAATGAAATCAATTTTCTCAGGTTGTTAACAATGCCCTGACACACCTCTTTTCTGAAATATCACATCATTTAGCTTTCAAAGATTGCAAAAATCACTTTTCATTCCAAAAGAGTTTTTTTCTCCCTTTGAATATAGCCTAATATCCTTGTTTGGACCAACTCCTACATATATGAAAGGATTCTATGTGGGTAAAACTGAAGTAGTACACGCTGCCTTCAAAATGAAGCACACTCGATGGGACATTGTAAATGAAATAAATTCTTGCAGGCCTAAGTCTTCTTAGGCCAACAAGAGCTACAGCTGGCCAACTTAAGAGTAGATGGAATGGGAAACTCTTCATACTTCTTTCCCATTTACTTACACATCTTTTCAGTAGAGCTTTGTATACTCTTACAGTAGAATCTGGCTTGGGTTGACGCTGCCCAGGAGGTTGGCGTTCTTGCTAATAATACAGTTTCTGTGAACTTTACATAGGCAAAGATCCCCTCTAGTATAAATATTGTGAGATGCGGCTTGCTAATAATTTTAGTAACTATATGTACTGTCTGATTACTGCAAATAATACAGGGTTTTGTCATATTTTCTTGCAATTTATCTTATAGTAATTACATTGCAAAGAACAAGATATGAAATACAAACTGCATTTTAAATTATATGGTGTTCTATAATAATGTTTTTTCCCCCAGCTCTCAAGAAAAGGAGAAGGCAATTTACCCTGTTTTGTGTGATCGTGAAAAGTCCACTATGAGTTTTAGCCTTGAAATCAGAACTTTTGAGACAATTAAAGAAACTATTAACCAAACCAATTTTTACCTTTGATATTGTACAGAGACATCTACTTGATGAGCAAGTTGTTTTTAGAATGCCATTAATGTTTTCCAACCTTTGTGTTTAGGATATTTTCTATACGAAAAAACAAAGATTTAATGATGTTCATATGTATCTTCACTTCACTTGACTTGTTCAAAATGAGCTGATCAAAATATGTAATTTACTTGATCAAAACTTCACTGGTTAATTAGTTCCCTGGAGCATTTAGGAAATCAGAAATATATCAAACAACACACAGTTTACTTACAGCACTTTAAGACTGAAAAGGCCAGCAAATGCTCCCTTAGGAATGTATGTCAAACCATTTCCTGCAAGACGTCTGCAAAGATTGAAAAAGGAAAAGAAAGAGAGTGAATACTTTTTCTCTTCATGTGGAATTAATTTGGTTGTTAAAAAGTGCAATACAGCTATGTTTGAGCGACTGATGCCAGAGGCAGTAGTTTAAGAGCCTTGTTTTGTCATTAATACACTTTTAAAGAAAAAAAAGAAGAAAAAAAAAAAAAAAGAGAAGCCCTTAACTGTACATTTGATTTACTGACAGCTGGACTGCAGAGAAAGAAATGCAATTTCATTGCAAACCGAGCTTATGGTTTAGAATGCACATCTTATTCTTCATACTGTTCTTTTTTAAGGATTAGAGCAATCTCAGCAACAAAAATACAGATACACTGACAACAATTAGAATAATTGGGTTTACAGGCATACGCTTTTTGGAATTGCACATGTAGGATGTCTGCACACATTTAACTCATTTGCACTAATATCAAAATATATACACATAGTAATGACTAGAGTTCTTTTCAAAATAACTACACATAAAACTGCTGTACTGGTGGAATCATAGTTTTCCCTGTGAGCAGATGTATAATAGGCTGGCATAAAGTGTATTTGTTAAAATTTGCAGGGCTTTTTTCCCTACTTCTGTTGTATTTTCCTTCTCAGAACGCTTGAAAGTGCTTTACAGACCTAGGTAAGTACAGCAAATGCCTCTGTAAAGCGTGTTACTCAGAGAAAAAAAGAATGCATTGTGTAAGGTTTGTGCCTAGGAAAGAGATCATGTATTTGATGTGAAACCAGGTTTTAGGCATTTTCAATTTGTGGAAAAGCCCCTTCCCTGTACACACACACCTGCTGAGCGATGTGACCTGTGACTCCGAGCAAGCGGCTCTTCCTCGCTCTGTTCAATGCATTTAATTGTGCTCTGCGGAGGCGCTCAGCTTCAGACAGAGCTGCTGAGCTTGTCTCACTTTGGAGTACGCCGGAGTGCGATGTTCAGACACCGGAGAATTGGGCACGAGCACCTGAATTCCTGCAGGCAGAGGAGTGAACCGAACCTGGCTCACTTGCTCCAAGGTGAGGCACTCACAGGCTGAGCCTATCTCTTTTCAGATGTGTGAGGGGCTTCCCAGCTTCAGCCTTCCTTCTGAACAGAAATGGCAATGACTTTTGGGTTGTTTCTGGCTCAAGCAGGTGTGTGCTGGGTCAGGCACACCACACCACGTCCCTGAAATTAAGTGCCCTTTGTGGATCACTGACTGGTAGAGGCTCAGGACCTATCTAATGCTGATCTCAGTTTATGATATGAATTTTTCGAAAGACTAAAGACTGATTCACCCCTAAAGAATCTTTTTACCCTGTTATTTTAATGACATGAGCAGACATCAGTCTGGACATGAGTCCGGCATAAACCAGAAAGTGAGGAGTCTCCAAAACTGCACTGGAAAAAAAGTAAGTACAGGTACCGAGGTTTTCACTTACAGCTATGTTACTGCTTTGAGTGTCATACAGAAAGCTTGAAAAAGAGCAGAGGACTAACCTCACGTGTCTAAAGACTCAAGCTGGTGCTCTGTCAGGCCACCATCCCTTCTTAAGAGTGGCTGTGTGGCAGCAATTTTCATAATTGTTGCAGTGCAAACTGCCAAACACACTACGTGTTCATGCCGCCCCTTTGAACTGGAATACTCTTCATAAAATGGGCTAGCATTGAAAATCAGACCAGTCTAAGAGCTCCTGGAGAAGGTCTCTGGCAATTACCAGGCATGCTCCTCCCTGTTCCAAATGCAGGACTGCAGCAATTTAATTGGGACACGATGCGGCTTTAAAGTTTTGTTTCAATGTGTAATAATCACTTTTCCCAGCTTCAGAGCATCATCAAGGATTTTTGTGGTACTCTTAATGTTTGGCATTTTTTGAAAATGGACTGTCATAATTTTAAAGACATTTTTATGGTACCTGCAATGTGTATCTAATATATTTAGAAAGAAATACCTAAGTACAGAGACACATTTATACATGTACATGCCACACATCTCACTGACATTCAGGATGGTTTTAGTGAGACTGTACTGCATTGGGCTGTCTTTGAGCTAGTCTCTGATGGCTAAAACTTTTCCATGTAACTTTTTCCCCTCCTTCCTTTTGTCGCTAGTTTTTCTGTCAAACTGTCTTCAGGAGTAGATTTTTTTCAGAGATAACTGTTGTCATTCTTATTGTAACGTCCATTTGGATCATCTGGCCACCCACAATATCCCACCCTAAGGGCATGACCCCCACTGCATGGCCCTGGCTCCAACACCTTTCAGAAGAATATCCGAAGCTGACAGACCGTTGTGAGGGATGCTGAGCCGTGCTCCTGAGCTGTTCTGAGCAATAGTTTCCTGCACTGCTGAACTGAGATGTCATTTCTTCCTCTTTTCTTTTATTTGTTTCAGATTCCAACCCTTGTTTTATATTCTGCTGTTTTTCCTTTTAGATCACAACTTCTCCATTACTAAATATGTCTTGTACACTTTAGGTAGATGAAACCACATGTTAATCTTCTTTTTGGTAGACATAGCTTCTGCATTTACTCTTAATGAGTTTTTCAAACCTCATTCTTGAAGTTCTGCTTTGAATATTTTTCAGTTTGGAAACAGCTCTCACTAATTTTGCAGACAGTGATTAATGCTATTTTATATGATACTCCTCTGCTTATGCAGCAGAAGGTCATGGTCATCATGTATAGCCCTACGTATTACAGTAGAGGCCTACATCAAATGTATCACAACGCCAAAATACATGTATGTCGTGTAATTCTCTCACCAAGCAAAATGACAACGTCAGCAAAGGTAGACATCTGGCAACAATTATTTTCTATGCAACGATGTCGTCTGACCTTCAGTCACCATATTAAATTCTTTCTCATGATGCCCTTTTCATGATTTTCTGTGGAACTGACTTCAGGCAAACCACCTATCTATTCCCAAGACACTCCATGAGACCACTTCTGAACACTGGCACAGCAGTAGCATCTTCCCAGCCCTTTGGAACTCCCCAGCATTGTGGTATTTGGTAAAAATCAGCAAAAATTATTCACTTGGATTGTTGTATAATTCTTTCAATATTCTTGGATGAAAGTTAGCACACCAGCTCTTTAAGGCATGCTGCAAAGCTCATTAAGTTTGGCTTATTTGTTTCTGACCACTTTTAATGCCTTCCTTGCGTTATTACTGTTTCTATTCCCAGTCTTGCCATAGGGGAAAATTAATCCCCTTGTTGACACTACAGTAACTATCAAGTTATCTGTCAGGGTTTACTCTTCTCCACTTCAGGGATTTTGTTTTCCATTGCCCTAAATTATTTGAGAGAAGCTGCCCAGTATTTTACTGAACTTTGGATGGACTTTGAGTAGTGATTTCAGTCTGGACTGGTAAATATCGCTTTCCCTGAACAGATGAGGATGGACATACTATCTGTCTCTATAGTTCAGCATTTAGTTAATGATTTCTGAGAGCAGGA